TGGCACGTTTCGCCTCATCTTTCGCCAAAAGGCGACGTTGGAAATCCCGTTCAATGCGACACGTGATGACCTTGAGACTCTTATTGAAGCTCTCAATACGATCACGGACGTCGATGTTGTCTTTTCCAATGGAAACTCGACTTGCACTGACTCATCCCTCGGATATAATGTCGTCGGCGTCACCTTCAATACGGAGCACGGGGACATTCCTTCAATGACAGCTGACACGAGCCTTCTTTACGATACAAATTATGGGACACAGATCGGGGGTGGCACGGTCACCTTCTTCACAGACGGTGCCGCAGCTACAAGTAATGATCTAGTTGTCTCTGTGGTTGGCACCACAGAGGAGATTGAGTGTTCAGGCCGGGGGCTTTGCGATCGCCTGTCCGGGACATGTTCTTGCTTTGACGGCTACTCTTCCTCCGATGGTATGGGAGGCAGTGGCTCCCAGGGCGATTGCGGCCACCGTAGTCTCTGTAATGCTGCCTGGTGTGCGCAGTGAGCATGTCTGGACTGAAATCTTGTTATTAGCTCACTACATCCGGGTATCGGAGCCTTCTTATCGGATATCGAAGATGGGAAGGGCCAAGTACTAAACATGGATCTCTCCAAGTCTGCCTACCGAAATCTTTGTGTCCAGCCGAATTCCATTCCGAATTCGAAGAGAACTGGCAGAATGGAACCTTGCGGTCGCGAGGACGGTTGTGTGTGTGGAAGAGGCGGGAGGCACGCCCACCAGTGTCAATGTTGACTTCTCTACAAACGGGAGGCCTGAAGACTGGTGGTCTGTCACCTTGAGACAAGTAGCACTGGGCTATTTTGCCATTGGATAACAGAAGTGAATCCACAAAAGCGACATGGGTGGTAGCAAACCGCGGAGAAATAAAGTACGGGGGGAAAGAGGAAGGGGCCCAACCAGGGGTATTCTCATATCTACCCTAATTGGAGCGAAACCTCCCCGCCTGTTGGAGTGCGGTTTTGTTGCCAAGTTGGGCCTAAACTCAAGCGCCGCCAACTAAAGGCCCGCAACTCAACCCCGCCGCCGGCCGTAGCACGTGACGACGAGTAGCCCAATCGCGCGAACACGACGAGGCCGCTCCTTACCCGGCCCGTCGCGCGTGGGAAAAGGACCGGAGGGATAAGACTCGGTGGAAGTCAGTGCAGTGATGGCGACCGCGCGCGCGCAGTGGCCGCGGTGTGCTCGAATCGATCTGTGATGCGCATCTCGGCCTTGGTGGTCGCATTCTTGCGTCCGATCTGGCCCATGGGTCCGTCCGACCTGCCTGGAGGCCCCAACACTAACGTGAGCAGCCCCCTGGCCAACCAGGTACACTCGATGGCGCTTGACAGACCTCCAGCGTACGCAGAGCGAGATCATAGACGCGCGAGACTTACAAACGTTGCAAGCTCAGGAACAGAGGCAAATATCACCAAGGGACAGGCTGACTACGTCGCTTAGCTGGATTTGTGCAAAGTTTGCCAAAGGCGGACAAGAACTTACTAGAGCAGGTCTATATGACTCTTGCGCCAATCGACGAAACATAAATTCGAGAAGCTATTGTGGCTTCCGCTAACCTATAAGGAGGTAGCTGTTTTCTTTAGTAGGATACGCGGAAAAGGTACCCTCTTCTTTCTTTCTCTTGCACACTTTTAGCGACCGAGGACCCCGAGTCTGGGGGTTGCATAGGCAGCTCACCGCTTAGGTGGCGATGCGCGACAAGTACGCCCGCTGCTAGCTCGGCCCCATCGAGGCCGTTTTGCGGTAAAGTAAAGGCTTTTTTAATGGGGCGGCGCCCCATTTACGAATCAAAAACTTTACCAAACCCCCGGCCAAGTCTCTATTTTCTAGGATTTTTTGAAGATAACGATGAGCGCGGGCTGCGCTTCGCAGAGCATGGGCGAGTCGCCTCTTTCGGCGCGCAATGCGGGTGTCTCGGGGCATACGATCGTCCCCGCTTCCTCCGCTGGAGACCGCGTGCTGGCATGTCGATGAATGGTCGAATCGCCGGCAAACTTTGTGGGATTGGTTGTGTGATCATGGGCCACAAAGGGAGGGCGTTTATGTACGGGAACGGCTGATGAGGCCCGAAATAAGTTCTTCCCAACCGCTGGATGCCCCGCTGGACGGGAGGGGGTCGCGGCTTCGAATCTCCCTTCCGCGAAGCGGCGCGGACGGCGCGGACGGCGCGGACGGCGCGGACGGCGCGGACGGCGCGGACGGCGCGGACGGCGCGGACGCGGCACGGGGTCACTTTTTTTGTTCCAACGAGTGATCTCACGGATGAAATAAGATCTCCGATGCTGGGAGAGGTCGACAGAGAGATACGACCCCGACTCCGCGGACAACGAGGCCGGGCGCTGCGCACCGTGGCCCGAGTGCGTGACCGCGCCGCAGGAGCCATCCGAGTTTCCCGACGCTCTGCGTTCCTGTTAGCCCCGCCCCGGTCCCTACGGCCCTAAAGGAGCGGTCTGCGCCGGCTCGGGGTCGCTCTGGTGCCGTTTGGAGTCTAGCCTGGCGTACTTGTCGTGCTTCGCCACTTAGTGTTGCCAGATCCCGGCCGGTCGGCAGGGCAGTGTAAATATCCACCTTTCTAGTCTACAGTGAAGGCGCTTATATTCCTTTACACGAGCAGAGCACCTCCGGAGTCACCCATGGGTAGCCTGAGTACGAGGTGTCCACCGCTGCCACCTAGGCCCCAGGCGTCGCGCTCCACGACCAGCTCGGCGCGAGGGGCTGCCTCTCGGAGACACGAGCGCCGGCGCCGAGTCGGGTGCAACATCAGCTCGAGTTCGAATCGACCAACTTGAATGGGAAGCTCGCATTCGCGCGCCGCGCGCGGCGACGCCATGGCCTCGATTCCGAGCCGGCAGCCTCGGCGCATGACCCAGGAGCCCCCGCGGCCTACCCTGCGAGTCCGCTGGCCAAATCCGCGGGATTGGGGCGTCGCGGAAGTCGACCCCCGGACGTGGGTTGCGGCCCTGTCGTCAACTAGTCCAAAATACAACTAGCGCTGATTATATCGTAAGTCCGAAAAAAGAATAAGGTGCGTGGATGGCGTCTGCCCCGTGGGCATGGGCGATGAGCATTGCGTCAGTTTGGGCGACCTTTATCAAGGCGAGGCGAAATGTAGCAGTCGGGAGCTTGAGACGTGAGATGCAAGAATGGCCAGGGGAAATCCCGAGTCTGATCCCAACAACCCCTCCAACCCCAAGACCCGCTACTTACTTCGATCCGCTTTGTAATGATGGGAGAATCAAGGAGGAACAAAAAAAAGCTTGTCGGGACTATGGCAGCGATAGAGACTGCTGCACGGCCTTCCGCCAAGGACAAAGTTGCGAGAAGGGTGGGCAATTCCATCCCGGGAGTCGGTTCGTCCCGTCTACATC